GGCGGGAATAGAGATTTTGCAGTATCTTTACCCTGCCACGCCCACTAAGCCACACCGTGCCCACCAAGCCACGCCCACAGAACCGGCAGTAAAAAAATTGGATTTCACCACTGAGATATATAGATAGATATAGATGTAGATGTAGATGTAGATGTAGATATATCTATATAGATATATAGATATATAGGAGAAGGAGAAGGAGAAGGAGAAAGGAAGGAGAAGGAGGAAGGAGAAGGAGAAGGAGAAGGAGGAAGGAAGAAGGAGAAGGAGGAAGGAAGAAGGAGAAGGAGGAAGAAGGAAGGAGAAGGAGAAAAGAAGGAGAAGGAGGGAGGAGGAAGGAGAAGGAGGAAGGAAGAAGGAGAAGGAGGAAGAAGGAAGGAGAAGGAGAAAGGAAGGAGAAGGAGGAAGGAGAAGGAGAAGGAGGAAGGAGAAGGAGGAAGGAAGAAGGAGAAGGAGGAAGAAGGAAGGAGAAGGAGAAGGAGAAGGAGAAAAGAAGGAGAAGGAGGAAGAAGGAAGGAGAAGGAGAAGGAGAAAGAGAAGGGAGAAGAAGGAGAAAGAGAAGGAGAAGGAGGAAGGAAGGAGAAGGGAGAAGGAGAAGGAGAAGGAGAAAGGAAGGAGAAGGAGAAGGAAAAGGAGACCTCGAAGAGGCTGGAGAGTCACGTCTCATGAATGCTTGGATTGATTTTCCTGCAGCTGGCAGAAGGCTGGACTAGATGATTTTTGGGACCCCCTTCCAAATCCAGCATTGTAGGATTCAGTGAACTGAATTGTCTCTTTTCTCTATTAAATCACAGAATCGTAAGGGCTGGAAGCAGTGATGGGATTCAGCCGGTTCGCACCACTTCGGGAGAACCGGTTGTTACCTTTCTGAGCAGTTGGGTGAACTGGTTGTTGGAAGAAATCATGAGGGCAGAGACACCGGTTGTTAAATTATTTGAATCCCACCACTGGCTGGAAGGGACCCTCAGAGGACTTCTAGTCCAACCCTTGCTCAAGGTAGGAGTCCTTATACCACCCCAGGCAAATGGTTGTCCAGTCTATTTTGGAAAACCTCCGATGGGACGAAGCACCCACAACACAAGGACGCAGTCTGGAAGGCTTTGGGTGTCTCTGTTTGCGGCGGTTGTCATCTTGAAATCGATAGGTAGACAAATGCAAAGATCAACTCTCTTTCCGGTTAAGCTGGAGCTCTGGCGACTTCACAAAAATCTCTTTTTCCAGTTTAACAACAACATAAAACTCCGGGTCAGCTTTACCCTTTCAAGATAATTAAAATTAACAGTACGTGCTGCCATCTAGCTACTTTCGAATGAAACGATCGCAAATACGGGGAATGATGTTAACTCACTTCAATTTATTCAACACGGTGGTGAAATCTAAAATTTGTGACTTCCAGTTCTGTGGGCGTGGCTTGGTAGGGGGGGAGTACTGTGACTGGGAGGGTGTGGCCAATTTTATTTTATTTTTTTTACTTTTAAAACCATTTTTTTTTACAACCTCTTCGGTGAAGAGGTTGTAAAAAAAAATGCTTTCAAAAGGCTCTGACGATCCCAGCTGAGTTGCCTGATCAGCAGAGGCTTTTTTTTTCTTTTAAAAGCCTTTGACGATCCCCGCTGAGCCGCACAATCATCAGAGGCTTTTTTTTTTTTACTTTTAAAAGCATTTTTTCGGCCGAAGAGGTTGTAGAAAAAATGCTTTTAAAAGGAAAAAGAAAAGCCTCTGATGATCGTGCGGCTTAGCTGGGCATTGGGGGGGCAGGGATTTTTGCTACTGGTTCTCCGAACCACCCGCCGCCATCGCTACCGGATTGGGCGATCCGGTCCGAACCGGGAGCATTTCACCCCTGATTCAACAGCATTCTAATTGAATTAAATCTAATTTTCGTTTTTTGGATTGGTTCCATTATTTCTTTGACACCTGCGCAACCATGCCCAAATAGTTCTCAATGTACGACCCCAACATTTATGTTGCTAAGTGAGACAGTGGTTAAGGAGTTTGGCCCCATTTTGCAACTTTTTTCACCAGATTTGTTAAGCGAATCACGGCAGTTGTTAAATGAGTAACACGGTTGTTAAGTGAAGCTGACTTCCCCATTGGTTGGAAGGTTGCAAAAGGGGACACTGCAACCGTCGTAAGTGTGAATCAGCTGTCAAGCCTCCTAACGCAAATCACGTGACTGTGAGGGATGCTTGCAACAGTCATAAGTGTGAAAAATGGTCATAAGACTTAGAATAACTTTATTGTCATTTTGAATATACGCTAATCGACGTACATTAAAATGAAATTTCTGTCAGGTTTCGTTACTATCTCAAAATAAATGAATTTCCAAACTACTGATCTTTGAGGAAATTTTCTCTTTATTGAGCATAGTGATCCGTCCCTGGCTCTTTCGCGGTCAACACTGACCTTTGCCCCCCAATCCCTCCCTTTCCGATCCCCAATTCTCTGTGTCTCATTGGCTCTCTTCCAAGCCACTTTCCTCATCCCATCTCCGTCAGAACACAGGAATGTCCCCCCCTCCTCCCATCTCCGAGGAAACAGAATCTTCAAAGGAATTAAGTAGGCAAAAGTTCAAGCTTCTCCTCTCCTTTCAATATGTCAGCGCTGGAACGCTGACAATTTCGTTGCATACAGCTCTCAAAGGGTCACCCCCTCCGATATACACTAAAGTCACTTTCTTCAGAGCCGTTGTAACCTCAAACGGTCATTAAACGAACTGTCGTAAGTCAAGGACTGCGTACCTGAATAGGTAATCCTCGATTGATAACTAAACTTGGGACCAGAATTTCCATTGCTAAGTGAAGTAGTTAAATGAGTCACGTTTGATTTTTTGACTTTTTTTTTTGCCACAGTTGTTAAGTGAATTACTGCAGATGTTAAGTGAATCCTGGTTTTCCCCCCCTCCCTCCCGCTATTTACTTTGCTGGTCGGAAGCTACCTGGAAAGGCTGCAAATGGGAATCACCTGATCCCAGGATGTTGCAACCAGGGGTGAAATCCAGCAGGTTCTGACAGGTTCGGGAGAACCCGTAGCGGAAAATTTGAGAAGTTCGGCGAACCGGCAAATACCACCTCTGGCTGGCCTCAGAGCGGGGTGGGAATGGAGATTTTGCAGTATCCTTCCCCTGCCATGCCACCAAGCCACGCCCACCAAGCCACAGCACGCCCACCAAGCCACGCCCACAGAACCGGTAGCTTTAAAAAAAATTGGATTTCACCACTGGTTGCAACCATCATAAATGACAGACTGGGCCCTATCTAACAAAATGTAGAGAAAAGTAAAGTCCTACACGTAGGCAAGAAAACCCAAAAGTACACATAGAGACTGGGTGAAACCAGGTTTAATGGCAGTCATCATGAGAGGGACCTTGGAGTCTTAGTGGACAACCAGCTAAATATGAGCCAGGAGTAATGTGGATAAAAGAAAGGAATCATACAGAGTCAGATATATGGGCTCTGGAGGACCCTCTCTATTCACATTATTATAAGGGGAAGACGTGCTTAGATACATGAACTCTGAGAGAACCTCCCTATTCACATTATTATACGATAGAAAAGTGCTTGTTGGAGATTACATTAACAAACCTCATTAAGTGGTAATATATCTTCTGATGAAACCTAGATGTCACGCAAGGACAGCCATATGGAAAACATCTGAATGACCTCACTGTGAATGACACAAAGACATATATGTTATAGTTACTTAATCCAATAAATTTACCTAAGGACAGCAGTAACTCTCCCATTAACAACTACAAGCATTTAAGGAAAAGTTGTGTGGCTGAGATAATTTTATAAACTAAAATTAATGGTTTAAGTAATTAGATGAACATATTATCCAATGTATGTAACCATATAGGGAAAATCGGACTCATGTTAACCATATACGGAAAATGTATGATGTCACTGAATCCTTTGTCTTAGAAATGTATAAAACCAGTTGTATCAGAGTTCTCCCCTTGTTCAAAGCTTCAGGTACAAAACTGGCTCTGAACCTTGCGCAATAAAACTGTCTCTGGCTGACCCAGGAATGTTGTTTGGTCTCATCATTCCACAACAGGAGTGTCCAGTGGCAGCCAAAAAAGCCAATACAATCCTAAACTGCATCAACAGAGGGATAGAATCAAGATCAAGGGAGGTACTAATACCACTCTCTAAAGCCTTAGTAAGACCACACCTAGAGTACAGCATCCAGTTTTGGTTACCACACTATTAAAAAAGACGTTGAGACTCTAGAAAGGGTGCGGAGAAGAGCAACCAGGATGATTAAGTGACTGGAGGCTAAAACATACGATGAACGGTTGCAGGAACTGGGCCTGGCTAGTCTAGTGAAGAGAAGGACCAGGGGAGACATGATAGCAGTCTTCCAATATTTGAGGGGCTGCCCCAGAGAGGAAGGGGGTCAAGCTATTTTCCAAAGCACTCGAAGGTCAGACAAGGAACAATGGATGGAAACTGAACAAGGAGAGATTCAACCTGGAAATAAGGAGACAGTGAGAACCATCAACCCATGGAACAGAAGTTGCCTTCGGAAGTTGTGGGAGCTTCATCACCGGAAGCTTTCAAGAAGAGATTGGACTGCCATTGGTCAGAAATGGTTTAGGGTTTCCTGCTTGGGCGGGGGGTTGGACTAGATGACCTACAAGGTCCCTTCCAACTCTGTTAATCTAAATAAATAGATGCCAGTTGAAAGCCCCCCAATTTTTTATATTTTAGTGTCTAGGTCAGGGGTCAGCAACCTGCAGCTCTGGAACCGCATGTGGCTCAATTCACTGTTGATGAAATAAAAGGGGTTTATCGGGACGAGGACTCGGCTTCGTGCTGCTGGGAAAGCCTAGGTCAGATCAGCTTGGTGAAGAAAACAGACGCTGTTGTTCACTTTGGAATTTGCACCATGCTTTCCACATATACACATACACCTCCATCTCTCACACACAAACACACACCCGCTCCTGCCCACAAATCACAGTTCAGAGTCCAGAGAGAGAGAGAGAGACCAAACAGGTCAGCGTGTCTCTTTTGCAACTCGACACAAAACAGCGACGAAGCAGGAAGAAACGATCTCTTCGAGCCGGCAGCCCATCAGCCCCTGCCGTGGGCACCATGGATCTTATCAATGCCTTGGCCCCCTCGTCTTTGTTGAAGTAAGTTCGTGGAGATGGGGGGGGCAGGGGAAGAGGTGGACGGTGGAGAGGTTGGGGTTTGGAAGTCTCGTCTTCCGATGTCCTTGTCATCCCGGTTTCTCCAGCTAGCTCTCAACGTCGTCTAGCCTACTTTGGTGGTTTAGTTGGATCGGCCGTCGCAGAGACCGTCTTTTCAACAGGTTACGGCAACCAACCCAAGGACGTTGGGGGACATGGAAGGGGAGGATTTCCCCCAGCCCTGTTTGCAGGAAATCAAGGAAGGCCCAGCAAACTAACTTTCCGACCTCCTGGTTATTTACAAAGATTTCACAGCTGGATTCAGCCGGTTCGCACCCCTTCGGGAGAACCGGTTGTTAAACTTTCTGAGCAGTTTGGCAAACTGGTTGTTGGAAGAAATCATTAGGGCAGAGAACCGGTTGTTAAATTACTTGAATCCCACCACTGCCCATATGGTCGTCTGACTGAGGGGTTGCGGTTAGGGGAGAGGGTATATGTTACACAAACCTGGGTTCAAGAGACCCAGAAGGCGGCTTGTTTCAGCGATCAATTCAGCAGAATGTCGGTTCTGTTGGAGCTGAAAGTGGGGGAGAGAGAGAGAGAGAGAGATAACCAAGTTACACCTGAAATAACGCGAGCAGCATCTGAAATTAAAATGTCTTGGCCTTGAGTTGGCCAACCCTTGAAGAAGATTCGAATTCGGAAGCAGGGTCAATGTTTAAAACGGATCGCCAACGGAAGAGGTTTTCCGTTCTGAATTACCTCTTTTTTTTAGAGCGGGGATCTCTCCACACTTGGCAACTTTTAAAACTTGTGGACTTCAACTCCCAGAATTCCCCCAGCCAGCAAAGTTGAAGTCCACTGTCTTAAAGGTCACAAGATTGGGAAATATTGTTCTAAAACAGGGGTCTCCAAACTTGGCTGGTGGAGGAATTCTGGGAGTCGAAGTCCGGAAGTCTTAAAGTTTGCCAAGTTTGGAGACCCCCTGTTTTAGAACAAGATTTCCCAACCTTGCCACTTTTAAGATGCGTGGACGTCAATTCCCAGAATTCCTCAGACTTGGGGAATTCTGGGAGTTGAAGTCCGTCCATCTTAAAGAGGTCACGCTTGGAAAACTCGTTATTTATAACAATAATGAAGGGGAAGAGAACTAAATATTAATATTTAGTCCAAATATTTAGTCTAAATATTTATTAAGTCCAAAAACATGGATAGTCCCCATTTCAGATTAAATGGTTTATTTATTTTTTGTTTGTTTGCTTGCTTGCTTGTTTGTTTGTTTGTTTATAAATTTTATAAGCCGCCCGTCTTACCTCAAGGTAACCCTTATTCTTAATAAGCCCAGCTCTGCAGCAGCAACATTCATCCAATTTTGGCTTATTTTTACAAATGCAAGGTAGGATCTGGCTTGTTTCATACTTCAGAAACTAAAAGAATCCACACTGCTCCATAGATATGTCTGTGCAATTGAGACGGACTCCCTTGCTACTCCATCACTACTCCATCCCTCCCTCTTTCTGGAGAAAATTACTTGGAATTTGGACTCTGCCCTCCACAGCTAAGGAACAATACTTCCAGTAATAAACAGTTCCACGTAATCCTGATTAATTGTGCCTGTTTGGGGAGCCCATTAGGGCTAATCTCTTAAAAATCAGGGATGGGAAAGTCTTCCAGAAGGATATTTTTCGTGACACTGTAGAAGAGGAAGGCGTGTTTTTCGTTGGGCACTCTGCATGTGCCCCGCTGCACCACACTGCAAGATCACGTGACATGTTAATACCGCTTTATAATGCCTTGGTAAGGCCACGCGTGGAATATTGCATCCAGTTTTGGTTGCCACGATGTAAAAAAAGATGTTGAGACTCTGGAAAGAGTGCGGAGAAGAGCAACCAAAATGATTAGGGGACTGGAGAATAAAATATACGAAGAACAGCTGCAGGAATTGGGGATGTCTAATCTAATGAAGAGGGACGCGGTGGGTCAGTGGCTAAGACGCTGAGCTTGTCGATCGAAAGGTCGGCAGTTCAGCGGTTCGAATCCCGAGCGCCGCGTAACGGGGTGAGCTCCCGTGACTTGTCCCAGCTTCTGCAAACCTAGAAGTTCGAAAGCACGTCAAAAATGCAAGTAGAAAAATAGGGACCACCTTTGGTGGGAAGGGAACAGCGTTCCGTGTGCTTTTGGCGTTGAGTCATGCCGGCCACATGACCACGGAGACGTCTTCGGACAGCGCTGGCTCTTCGGCTTTGAAACGGAGATGAGCACCGCCCCCTAGAGTCGGGAACGACTAGCACATATGCGCAAGAGGAACCTTTATCTTTACTGTATATATAATTTACCTTTAATTTAATGAAAAGAAGGACTAGGGGGTGACATGATAGAGGTCTTCCAATATTTGAGGGGCTGCCCCAAAGAAGAGGGGGTCCACCTATTCTCCAAACCACCTGAAGGCAGGACAAGAAGCAACGGGTGGAAACTAACGAAGGAGAAATCTAAACTAGAACTGAGGAGAAATTTCCTCATAGTGCGAACAATTAAACAGTGGGATTTCAGAAGTTGTGGGTACTCCTACAATGGGGTGTTTTTAAGAAGAGCAATCTTCTTAAAACACTCCAATGTTACAGGGTCATAATGGTGAACCTATGGCACACATTGCCCTAATTCAGCTCCGGTGTGTGCCAGCTGATTTTCGGGCCTTCCAAGCCCACCGGAAGTCGGGAAACAGGCTGTTTCCAGCCTCCAGAGGGCCTCCAAGGGGGTGGGGAAGGCCGTTTTCGCCCTCCCCAGGTTCTTAGAAAGGCTTTGGAGCCTGGGGAGGGCAAAAAACAGGCCTACTGGGCCCATATTTATTGATTGATTGATTGATTGATTCGGTTTATATGCCGCCCTTCTCCAGAGACTCAGGGCGGCTTACAATGCATTAAGCAATAGCCGCCATACTTTTGTATATACCTGCTTAGTAGGGCTTTCGCCCCCCACCCCCCAAGCGGTGTTCTTTTTTTATACAAAGTCAGCTTATTGCCCCCACAATCCGGGTCCTCATTTTATCTACCTCGGAAGGATGGAAGGCCGAGTCAACCTTGAGCCTGGTGAGATTTGAACTCGCAGTAATTTATTTATTTATTTTTATTTTATTAGATTTTTATACCGCCCTTCTCCCACAGGACTCAGGGTGGTGAACAGCCAAGAATAAAAACATCACATACAAAATTTAAATTTTAAAAAAGAATTAAACAAAATTTGGGCCCGATAAGTTTAAAACACCCCAACTAAAATCCATTTACAATTAAAAATATCTAAATGGGGGGGGGGTTTAAGCCAGCCTGGCTTGATGAAATAAGAAAGTTTTAATGGCACGGCGAAAAGCATGGAGATCTGGTATTGTACGTATCTCCGGGGGCAGGTCGTTCCAGAGGACAGGTGCTGCCACAGAGAAGGCCCTCCCCCTGGGGGACGCCAGCCGACATTGTCTGGCCGACGGCACCCTGAGGAGTCCCTCTGTGGGAGCGTACTGGCCGGTAGGAGGCTATCGGTGGCAGAAGGCGGTCCTGTAAATACCAATAATTTGGCTGAACAAATTTAAAACCCCAATAATTTAAAACCAAATTTAAAATTTCCATTTAAAAAGGGGACAGACTTAGGTCAGGCCAGCTTGATGAATAAGAAAGTTTTGAGCGTGCGACGGAAGGTACACAGATCCGGGATCCTCCGTATCTCGGGGGGGAGCTCGTTCCAGATAGTAGGTGCCCCCACAGAGAAGGCTCTCCCCCTGGGGGCCGCCAGTCGACATTGTTTGACCGATGGCACCCGGAGGAACCCCTCTCTATGGGAGCGTACTGGTCGGTGGGAGGCTATTGGTGGTAGCAGGCCGTCCCGTAGATAACCAGGTCCTAAGCCATGGAGCGCTCTAAAGGTGATAACCAAAATCTTGACGTGCACCTGTAAGACCACCGGGAGCCAATGCAGCTCGCACAGGAGAGGCGTCACATGGGAGCGCCCCGTCGCTCCCATAATCCCCCGCGCGGCCGTATTCTGCACCAGTTGGAGCCTCCGGGTGCTCCTCAAGGGGAGCCCCATGTAGAGAGCATTACAGTAGTCCAGGCAGGAGGTGATGAGTGCAGGCAGCTGGCAGCTAAGTGCTACTTAACAGCACTTTAGTCCGCTGCGCCACCAAGGCTCCTTATCAGGCCATCACATGCCAAAAGCAGGGGGAGCACGGAGGCGTCGTGCACGCATGCACAGGGGGTGGGGTGCATTGTATTATTGGTGTGGGCACACACGCATGCGAGCCCCCCGCACTCCCCCCCCCCACTTTGGGCACGCAATAGCAAAAAGGTTCGCCATCCCTGATATAGGATCTCCTGCTTGAACAGAGGGTTGGACTAGAAGACCTCTAAGGTCCCTTCCAATCCTGTTGTTCTGTTAGTCTAACAAAGAGAAGGACTACGGACGACATGATAGTATCTTCCAATATTTGAGGGGCTGCCTCAAAGAAGAGGGGGTCCACCGATTCTCCAAAGCACCTGAAGGCAAGAGAAGAAGCAACGGATGGAAACGAATCAAGGAGAGAAGCAACCTGGAACTAAGGAGAAATTTCCTGACAGAACAATTAACCAGTGGAACGACTTGCCACTAGAAATTGTGGGGACTGCATCGCTGGAGGTTTTTAAGAAGAGACTGGACAACCATTTGTCCGGAATAGTATAGAGTCTCCTGCTTGGACAGAGGGTTGGACTAGAAGACCTCCCAGGTCCCTTCCAGCACCGTGATTCTGTTATTCTCCCTCAACTCAGGTCGGTCTCCAATGCGGGTTCGGAAATCTCCCGCCGGGTCTGGACCCCGAGCCCTCCGCCCCAACGGCCGTTCCGGGTGTGCGATCACAAACGCAACATCCGCAAAGGACTGATGGCAAGCACTTTGGAAGACTTACTTAACAAGGTTCGTGTATTAGTTCTGTGTAGTTTTTATTGTTTTAAACTCTTTGACGATTGTTATTTTGGTTCGTCAGCCAGAGGTTCAAAAATGCTGGATTTGGTGTTTTGGTCCACCTAGCAGTTCCTTCTCAAGGACCCGAGATAGACAGATGTGTTTGTGTTAATTATTATCATCATTTTATCTCCCAGAAAATGTCCCCCACACACACACACACACACATACACACACATAACTGCTTTGAAGGTCAGGTGTAACTCGCAAAGCATTCCTGGTCTGCTCTCGAGTTGCCACGGGCAGGAAAGTGGGAAGGACTGACGGAGCAGTTCAGCAGCCATGTTCAAAAGAACATTCCAGGCATTTCTTCTTCAAGGGTTGGATCTCAGATTACCAAAGCCGGGTTGTGAGGCGTGTTTCCTACAGCCCGCGAAAGTGCATCGTTGGAGAATGTGATTTATGACACAGACTGAGAGAAGGGGAAACAGGGTCAGAAATTGAGCCGTAAATTACGTGCAGCAGAGTTGACTTCACTGGGTAGATGCTGACATGTTGCTCCTAATAAATAACTGGATTTCTTTTTAAACTTGGCTCGGGACTCATGAGTTAATTAGGGCATCTGTCGGAACCCCGACAGTCAGGTTCTGAATTAGCAGCAGGTCACTCCAAGTCCACCTCACTTTTCCCCATCTGTGAAATGGGCATAAAATCTTGATGCACATATTTAACGCATCAAAGAAGCAGTTTAAGGAAGATGGGGGCGGGGGAATGTGTCTTCGCCCTTGCGTGCCTCAGCTTGTTCGGTTTCTTGTTTTGTAGGCCAGGGAGACCCTCTTGATCTCCGGCATGGTTTTCTTGGTGCTGGAAGAAGATGGGACCCTGGTTGAGACGGAGGAATTTTTCCAAATCCTGGAAGACAACACAGCCTTGATGGTGTTGCAGAAAGGACAGAAGTGGACTCATGGCAAGGTGAGTGTTAGCCAATCAAATCGAGAAAAGACTGGACATCCATTTGGGCGATAGAAGGTCTCCTGCCTTAGATACCTGGGGGCTAGACTTGGACCTTCAAGGTGCCTTCCACCCCTATGAGTCTAGTATCTATCTATCTATCTATCTATCTATCTATCTATCTATCTATCTATCTATCTATCATCTATCTATATCTTTCTCTCTAGCTATCTATATCTATCACCTATCATCTATCATCTATATCTTTCTCTAGCTATCTCTAGCTCTATTATCTATCATCTATCTCTCTATCTTTCTCTCTAGCTATCTCTATTTCTATCATCTATCATCTATCTCTATCTTTCTCTCTAGCTATCTATAGCTATATCTATCATCTATCATCTATCTCTATATCTTTCTCTCTAGCTATCTCTATTTCTATCTATCATCTATCATCTAGCTCTATATCTTTCTCTCTAGCTATCTATAGCTATATCTATCATCTATCATCTATCTCTATATCTTTCTCTAGCTATCTATAGCTATATCTATCATCTATCTCTATCTACCTACCTATATCTATTATCTATCCATCTACCTATCTACCTATACCTACCTTTCTCTCTAGCTATCTCTATCTACCTACCAATCTATCATCTACCATCTATCTCTAGATCTTTCTCTCTAGCTATCTATAGCTATATCTATCATCTATCTCTATATCTTTCTCTCTAGCTATCTATAGCTATATCTATCATCTATCATCTATCTCTATCTACCTACCTATATCTATTATCTATCCATCTATCTACCTATACCTACCTTTCTCTCTAGCTATCTCTATCTACCTACCAATCTATCATCATCTATCTCTATATCTTTCTCTCTAGCTATCTATAGCTATATCTATCATCTATCTCTATATCTTTCTCTCTAGCTATCTATAGCTATATCTATCTATCATCTATCATCTATCTCTATCTACCTACCTATATCTATTATCTATCCATCTACCTATCTACCTATACCTACCTATCTCTTTCTATTTCTTCCTCTCTAGCTATCTCTATCTATCGATCTACCTACCTATCTACCTACCTACCAATCTATCATCTATCATCTATCTCTATATCTTTCTCTCTAGCTATCTATAGCTATATCTATCTATCATCTATCATCTATCTCTATCTACCTATATCTATTATCTATCCATCTACCTACCTACCTACATCTATCTACCTATCTACCTACCTACATCTACCTACCTACATCTACCTACCTACCTACATCAATCTACCTATCTACCTACCTACATCTATCTACCTACCTACATCTACCTACCTACCTACATCTATCTATCTACCTACCTACCTACATCTACCTACCTACCTACATCTATCTATCTAGCTATCTACCTACCTACATCTATCTACCTACCTACCTACATCTACCTACCTACCTACATCTATCTACCTACCTACATCTATCTATCTATCTATCTATCTATCTACCTACCTACCTACATCTATCTACCTACCTACATCTATCTACCTACCTACCTACATCTATCTATCTATCTATCTACCTACCTACATCTATCTACCTACCTACCTACATCTACCTATCTATCTACCTACCTACATCTATCTACCTACCTACCTACCTACATCTATCTATCTATCTGAGGTTGAAGAAAAGATTGGGCATCTATTTGTCCAGATGGTATAAGGCCTCCTGTCTTTGAACATCTGGGGGTTGGACTAAAAGACCTTCCAGCTCTGATGTTGTAATACAGCTTTTCACTGTTGGTTTTCCAATTTCACAAGCTTTTGGCCATTTCCATCATCACAAAATTATTCTAAACTCAAAGCGTTTCTTATTTTTTCACCTCAAAGGGGTCAGATGTGAGAAATAAATTTTGGAGGCATTCCAGATCAATTTGGGTCACGACCAAGGCCAACCACGCCCATCTCTGGTTTCCCTGCCTTTATTTCTTCATAAAATTTGGGTTTTCTGCCAGCTCAGCACCCCTTTTGTCGCTTGTGGTGAACAGAAAACTGGCAGGAAATGCCTCGGGTACTTTTTTTTTTTTTTAAACAAACCCCAAACCACAGTAAAAGGAGCTGCTAAAATTGGATTTGTCGGTTTGGGGTTTTTGGTTTTTGTGGTTTCACACAAACACACATCCATTTTTTGGGGTTGCTTTGATGTGGTGTTGCTTTTTTATGGTTGGGATCTCAATTTTGTTTGAATTATATATTCGATTTTGATCCTGCCTTTATTACTTTATCAGTAACACAAGCAAAAATACTTAATCTTTCTATTTTCCTCACAAAAATAACAACCCTGTGAGGTGGGCTGAGAGAGAGAGAGAGAGAGAGAGACTGGCCCAAAGTCACTCAATTGCCTTTCATGCCTAAGGCAGGACTAAAACTTACCGTCTCCTAGTGATGGGGCTAAAGTTATCCGGGCGCCATTCATATCTAAGGCGGGATTAGAACTCACCATCTCCTGGTGATTGGCCCAAAGTCAGTCAGCGGGCTTTCATACCTAAGGTGGAACTAGAACTCCCAGTCTCCTGGTGATTGGCCCCAAAATCAGTCAGTCGATTTTCATGCCTAGGGTGGTACTAGAACTCCCAATCTCTCAGTGATTGGGCCCAAAAACAGCCAATTTTCATGCCTAGGGTGGGACTAGAATCTACCATCTCCTGGTGATTGGCCCCAAAATCAGCCAGTCGATTTTCATGCCTAGAGTGAGACTAGAACTCACCATCTCCTGGTGATTGGCCCCAAAATCAGCCAGTCGCTTTTCATACCTAAGGTGGAACTAGAACTCCCAATCTCCCAGTGATTGGCCCCAAAATCAGCCAGTCGCTTTTCATACCTAAGGTGGAACTAGAACTCCCAATCTCCCAGTGATTGGCCCCAAAATCAGCCAGTCGCTTTTCATACCTAAGGTGGAACTAGAACTCCCAATCTCCCAGACTGGCCCAAAAACAGCCAGTCGATTTTCATGCCTAGGTTGGGACTAGAACTCACCATATCCTAGTGATTGACCCAGTCAAACAGGTGGTTTTATGGCTAGGTCAGGACTAGAACTCACCATCTCCTAGTAATTGACCCAAAGTCACCCAGCCAGCTTTCAGGCCTAAGGCAAGACTAGATCTCATAGTCTCCACGTCCAAAATTAAGGCCACAATACTATTACTAGTAAAACTAAAAAAAAAAAAAAATCACCCAGCCCCTTAGTAATTTTAAAGGGATGTATTTAAGGTAGGACAACACAAGTTGCTAGCCCTCAAGAGGCTAACAACAGGAATTTAAACCTACCGTAACTTCCTCAACCAGCGCTTTTGAGATATCCTGTGATATCGAGACCCAGAGATCCCAGCCAGCTTAGAATTGCACAAATGTCATCATCTTCTTTTAACGACCACATAATCCCTTGCCGGGTAGAGTCTGGGCAACTGAATGGAGCTAGCAGAGTGTTTTAATGGCCAGATGCCCTTCCTGTTTCCGATGAGGAGTTTTGTTCAGCAGATATATTTTCTTCGTACCGAGAGAGAGAAATATCTGCCTCTACCTAGGATCGAACTCACAGCCTCCCGATTATGAGGCGAGAAAGCTCCACCTCTAGGCCACCGCACCCCTCCTGCATTGCACCAAAGCGGCATGCGGTAATACCCCCTTTTTCCCTCCCAGAGCCTCAGTCGTTCGTTCGGCCTGAGCGGAGACAAGCCACGAAACAGCAAGGATATCGCCCGCATCACGTTCGACGTTTACAAGCTGAACCCGCGAGACCTTTTTGGCAGCCTGAACATCTCGGCCACCTTCTACGGCCTCTACTCGATGAGTTGCGACTTCAAATGCCTGGGACCCAAGAAGGTTTTGCGGTGAGCCCGGTTCCTTGGCCTCCCCCGGGGAGAAAATGCAGAGGGAGGTTTGGAGACGGCCCAAGAGCTTTCCGAGGAAGAGTTCCTACCAATTCACGTAACAGGTTGGAAAGAACGCAGGAATCTTTTGTGTGGAAATGTGAGAAGAGAAAATTGGTGTTGAGAGACACTTCAGTTATTATAGGGATAAACCATCTCCAGGTTGGTGTTTTTCGGTGATTTTCGGCCTTCCGGGCCCACCGGAAGTTGGGAAACAGGCTGTTTCCGGCCTCCGGAGGGCCTCCGAGCGGCCTCTAGGAGGGCGGGGAAGGCTATTTTCGCCCTCCCCAGGCTCCAAGAAAGACTCTGGAGCCTGGGGAGGGCGATAAACGGGCCTACCGGGCCCACCAGGCCATCGCGTGCCAAAAGCAGGGTGAGGTCGGGGGGGGACTGCGTGCATGCACGGGGGGAGTCGGGGCACGGGGAGCATTGAATAATGGGGGTGAAACTGTCTGCGCCACTCATTCTTCGTAACTTGACCTTGATAGATAATGTCTCTCCGGCAACAGAAGGTTCTCGTGCATTCCTTAGCTTCCCACACGCACTGCAAATGAAAGCGGAACTAGAACTCCCAGTCTCCTGGTGATTGACCCAGTCACCCAGCCGGCTTTCATGCCTAAGGCTGCACTAGAATTCACTGTCTCCTGGTGATTGGCCAAAAGTCACCTAACCAGCTTTCTAAGGCTAACTCACTTAGCAACAGAAACCTGGGGCTCTCTTGTGGCGGTAACTCAAGGACTAACTGTCCACACCTGTTTGTGAATTCTTTTGACGGAAATCCCCTTTTTTCTTTCTTTCTTTCCGCCAGGGAGATCCTGCGGGTGGCATCCACCGTCATGCAAGGCGTCGGGCACGTCCTTTTGGGGGCGTCCAACTACATCCGCCGGCTCCTGGACGCGGGGGACAACTGGCACCCCCAAGTCAAGATAACCAACTATCAATATTGAGGCCTCCTGCCCCGCAAACCGCCGGAGAACCTCCCGGCTTCGAACTTGATCTCAAGGGAACCCACTTGATTCGGGAATCAGATTTAAAGGATATTTAAACCAGGGGTGAAATCTACTTATCTTCCCAACCGGTTCGGAAGTGCGCGCGCGCAAACTTTTCTGCGCACGCGCAGAGGGTAAAAAACAGGTAACGACGACCGGGGTGGATGGGTGGGCAGAGCCTCGCGTTGCCATCGCTACCGGTTCTTCAAACTACCGGCAGCCATCGCTACCGGTTCTCCGAACCACCCACTACCATCGCTGCCGAACCGGGCTGAACCGGGAGCATTTCACCCCTGATTTAAACCAAGGATAATCTTATCTGCAGATTTCTGTCCCCTTTTCAAAGGTGAAGAGGGATTGATCCAGGCTGGCAAGCAGCATACGAGCGCTTCAGAATCTCCTCAGAAAAGAGCTTTTTGTAGGACTGCAAAACCCATCATCCCTGGCATTACGGTCACAATAAACCGCCTTTACGGGGCAATCAGGCTTGACAAAACTGGCCGACTGACCCGTATCCAGCAGTGTGGGGCTCTAATCAGCACGTTTAAGGCATAATCTTTTGCTTGCCAATGTTGGGCCTGTAGAGCCTCCAGCTCAGCTACCACTCTACCTGCATTTAACTGGGAAAGCGGAACTTACGACCATTCGCTCAGTCACTAATTAATACTTCCACAAGTAGTTCAGTGAACAAGTTGAAACTCACAACGGTTCATTTAGTGCCGAGTTACGACGGCACTGGGGAAAAAAAATCTGATTTATGACCAGGTCTCGTATTTATGACCGTTGCACCATTCATTCCCTACCGTTACAAAATCAAAATCCAGGCGCTTAGCAACCAGCATTTACAGGTCGTCCTCAACTTACGACCACAATTGAGCCCAAAACGTATGTTGCTAAGTGAGTTTGGTCTCATTTTATGACTTCTCTTGCCCCAGCTGTGAAATGAATTGCTGCAGGTGTTAAATTAGTAACACAGTTGTTAAGTGAATCGCATTTCCCCATTGAATTTGCTTGTCAGGCCGCAAAAGGGGATCAGGTGACCCCGGGACACTGCCACCGTCATAAATATGAGTCAGTTGCCAAGCAGCCGAATGTAAAATCATAGGATGCTGCAATGGCCACAAGTGTGAAAAAGTCACTTTTTTTAGTGCCGTTGTTAATGCCGAATGGTCACTAAGCGAACTGTCGTAAGCCGAGGACTATCTGTATTTATGACGGTTGCAGTGTCCATATGGGATCGTCATCTGCAACCTTCCCAACCGGCTTCTGGCAATGGGAAAGCTGGATTCGCTTAGGGACTGCATGCTTCATTCAACGGCAGCGATTCCTTTAACAACCAGGGCCAAAAAAATAATAATAAAGTGTTAAAATCAGGCGTGACTCGTTTAACGACCGCCTTATCAACAGAAATTTCAGTCACAAATTACGGCCGTAAATTGAGGACTACCTGTATTGCAAGGACCTACACTGTGCCTCTTATTCCTGCTGGTCAATATTTAGTCCGCTGATAATGGCTCCTAGTCCAACTTCCTACTTAAGACTTACGGACTTCGACTCCCAGAATTCCCCAGCCAGCCTCCATGCTGGCTGAGGAATTCTGGGAGTTGAAGTCCACCCATCTTCAACTTACTAAGGTTCCTAACAGCCATATTGGCTGGGGAATTCTGGGAGTTGAAGTCCACCCATTTTAAAGCCACTTAAGGTTGCTAACTCCCATGCTGGCTGAGGAATTCTGGGAGTTGAAGTCCACAAGTCTTAAAGTTGCCAATTTACGAGATTTAAACCCTGATTTAAACCATGGTTGTCAAACTCAATTTCATGGGGGGGGGAGGCCTGGGGGGGCGTGGCTAGTTTGGCACCACTCCCCAAACTGCTGGCATGTTTCCTCTTCACACTGGGTAGACCAGGATCGGATCAAACCATGTAGGCCGCATCCAGCTTGCAGGCCTTGATTTCGACAGGCCTGATTTAAACCAGCATTTCAAGGTTAGAGGAAGCTGTGGGCAAACGCAGATTGTCCAACCAATTTGTCTGCCTCAAAAGCAAGACATGACAGCTGCCTGCAAACAATTAATTGCCTTTAATACCTGCAAAAATATAAATAAATATCCATCTGAGAATAGAGTCAAGTTAAGGCGGTGCCTGGAGCCATTTTAAAACCTCCTGTCTTTTTCTTTCTTTCTTTCTCTTTCCTTCTTTCCTTCCTTCCTTCCTTCTTTCTCTCTTTCTTTCTTTCTTTCTTTCTCTTTCCTTCCTTCCTTCCTTTCTTTCTTTCCTTTCTTTCTCCTTCCTTCCTTTTTTCTTTTTTCTTTCTTTTTCTTTTCTTCCTTTTCTTTCCTTCCTTCCTTTCTTTCTTTTCTTTCTCCTTTTCTTTCCTTCCTTCCTTCCTTCCTTCTCTTTCTTTCCTTCCTTTCTTTTCTTTCTCCTTCCTTCCTTCCTTTTCTTTCTTTCTTTCTTTCTTTTGGACTACAGTTCCCATCACGAGCTATCCAAGAGCGACAGGAACGATTCCTATCCCATCCACATCCCTGAGGGCGAAGGAGACTTTTTTCAAAGGCTCTTCTGGGCAGATTCAGGCAGGGCGTGAAACACAAAGCCCGCCTAAGGAGCTAGTCCTCTTGATCCCATCGGTCGACCAAAAAAAAATTAAATTAAAAAAATTAAAAATAAAATCCCGCCTTTGGCCAACCAAACCCCAGTTCAATCCTCCAGGATCTCGGCGAAAAGATCCCTCCGTTTCTTCTCCGCTTGCTGGTGGCTGTCCCAGTCCCGACGGCGTTTGAGGAAATGGGTCAAGGCGAAGTTACGGACGAGGTGGTGGCCGAAGGGGTCGTGTCGCAGCTGGGGCTCGTGCTCCGCTGGGAAGAGAGGGAAAAGAGAAGGTGGGGGGGAAGCTAAAATTTGAGGAATGACTGCAGGGCACAAATAAAATCTCTGTGAAATCGAGAGGCTGCGTTCACACGTGTCTTTTGTCCCGCTCGCAGCCACTGGAAGTGGGTGACTCCGAATTATGGCCTGTCAGGTTAAGAGTTGAGAAGCTTTTTTTTTTTTTTTTAACTCGGTGTTTCTCAACCTTCGGCCCTTTTAAGAAGTCTGGCCGGGGCCCTTTAAGCTATGCTGGCCGGGGAATTCTGGGAGTTGAAGTCCAAACATCTTATAGGCAGTGCTGTGGAGTCGGAGTCAGAGTCGGAGTCGAGGAGTCGGAGGAAATTTTGGGTACCTGGAGTCGGAGTCGGAGTCGGCAAACAATGCACCGACTCTGACTCCTACTAAATTTAGATTGGAATTTTAAAAAAAGCAAGTTTAAATGTCCCAATTCACAAAAAGTTATAATTAATGACTTCTCTACTGTAAGAATAAAGACCGGAGTCGGAGTCGGGGAGTCGGAGTCGGAGTCGGAAGTACAAAAAACTGAGGAGTCGGAGTCGGAACATTTATCTCCCGACTCCACAGCCCTGCTTACAGGGCCCGAAGTTGAGAAACATGGGGTCAACCCTGAAGCTGATTTGACCGAAGCCATTTTTAAATGGTTGCCACACTGCAGCAGAAGGACAGGGAGGGGGGGATTTGAGATGGAGGGGGGGGTTTCTGTAGCCAAAACAATGTCTTTTCTCTTGAGAACCAAGGACATTTCTCACACCGAGGAAGGCGGAGTGATGCCATCTGGTTGCCGGACCACGCCGTGATGGGACCACGTGACCGATTGTTTTGAGAAAGTGAACAAACTTTTCATTAGGTGAAAACCGCGGGAACCTTCAGAGTCGGTTTTCGCCAGATATGTGCCCATATGATAATTCCTAATAAAAGTAATCTTTGCGGAATCGACATGCCTCGGGAGTCTTGCCTGCTATGGATTTATTACCTGGAACCCTGACACGTGGCTTTAATTGAATGGACCCCTTTTCCAATATGCTTAATAACATATTTACAAGTTTAGTAAAAATACAGCCAGGGATATAGGGATCCTGTTTCCCCAAGGGTAGGGAAGAGGAAGGAAGTGGGAGGGGGAGAGGAAAGGAAGGTGAGGGAAGGGAAGGGAAGGGAAGGGAAGGGAAGGGAAGGAAAGAAGGAGAGGAGAGGAGAGGGGAGGGGGGAGGAGAGGAGAGGAGAGGAGAGGAGAGGAGAGGAGAGGAGAGGAGAGGAGAGGAGAGGAGAGGAGAGGAGAGGAGAGAGTGAAAGGGTGGGGAAGGAAGGAGGGAGGGAGGGGAAGGAAGGAAGGAAGATGGAAGGAAGATAGAGGGAGGGAGGGAAGGGAAGGGAGGAAGGAAGAGAAAAGGAGGGAGGGAGGGAGGGAAAAGGAGGGAGGGAGGGAAGGAGAAAAATAGATAGGAAGGGAAGAAGAAAAATAGAAAGGAGAAGGAAAGAAGGAAGGAAGGAAGGAAGGAGAAAAATAGATAAGGGAAGGGAAGGAGAAGAAAAATAGAAGGGAGAGGAAGGAAGGAAGGAAAAAGGACGGAGGGAGGGTGGAAGGAGGGAGGAAGGGAAGGAAGGGAAAAGGAGGCAGGGAAGGAGGCAGGGAGGGAGGGAGGAAGGAAGGAGGGAGGGAGAGAAGGGAAAAGGAGGGAGGAAGGAAGGGAAAAGGAGGGAGGAGGGAGGGAGGGAGGAAGGAAGGAAGGAGGGAGGGAGGGAGAAAAGGGAAAAGGAGGGAAGAAGGGAAAAGGAGGGAGGAGGGAGGGAGGGAGGAGAAAAATAGATAGGAAGGAGAAGAAAAATAGAAGAAGGAAGGAAGGAAGGAAGGAAGGAAGGAAGGAAGGAAGGAAGGAAAAAAATAGATAAGGGGAAGGGAAGGAGAAGAAAAATAGAAGGGAGAAGAAGGAAGGAAGGAAGGAAGGAAGGAAGGAAGGAAGGAAGGAAGGAAGGAAGGAAGGAAGGAAGAAGGAAGGAAAAAGGACGGAGGGAGGGTGGAAGGAGGGAGGGAGGAAGGAAGGGAAAGAGAGGGAGGGAGGGAAGGAGGCAGAGAGGGAGGAAGGAAGGGAAAAGGAGGGAGGAGGGAAGGAAAGAAGGAAGGGAAAAGGAGGAGGGAAGGGAAGGGAAGGGAAGGGAAGGGAGGGAAGGGAAGGGAAGGGAAGGGACCCGGAGGCTCCTTACCCAGCTCCTGAGCCAGCTCCCGTCTGGCTGGCAGGCTGGCTCTGCTCCAGATGGCATCCAGAACCCGGCTTCCGTGCTTGGAGCAGGCGAGAGGCAGGAAGTGGCCCTGAGAATCCAGAACAAAAAAAAAAAAAAAAAAAGGGGGGGGGGAGAGATGGAAGGGTCGTTAAATCCAGGACCTGCTGTAAATAACGGCCGCGACGACGCCCTGCATTGTGCCGACTGCAGAAACGAAACGGGGACTTTTGCGGACAGAGGTTGACGCGTTATTGGCCAAGGACCCAAACGATTTCGAGAGGCGTTAAGAAAGATTTTTGCAAGGCCGCCAGGTGTGCCGATCGGAAAAAAAATAACACCTCGTAGGTCGTAGCTTTTTTTCACGACGACGCAAAAGGGGTTGAAAAAAATGGCAAATTGCCAAGGACGCCTCAATTTGCGACCGTTCGTTTCGCTTGACGTTAAGCGGCTCGCCAAAAAAAAAAAAAAAAAAAAAAAGTCCTCGGACTTACAAACCATCACCGTCGAATGATCCAAATTCGGACGCTTGACAACTGGTTCCTATTTATGACGGTCGTAGCGTTCCCATTTGACGAGCAAAGTCCATGGGGAAACCCAGATTCACTTAACAACCGGGCTCCTAACTGAACAACCACACAGCGATTCGTTTAACAACCGTGGTGAGGAAGGTCGTAAAATGGGGCGAAGTTCCCTTAACGACCATCTCGTTTAGCAACCGAAATTTGGGGCTCAGTTGTGGTCGTATGTCCGAGGACTGCCTGTGTACCTTTGTATACTGCAGCTTTGCGAAACTGTGTCAAAGTCTGTAATTCGCTTAACAAATATGTGGTTCACTTAACAAATGCAGTGGTTTGTTATTTATTTATTGATTGATTGATTGATTGATTGATTGATTGATTGAATTTATATACCGCCCTTCTCCCCGAAGGGACTCAGGGCAGTGAACAGCCGAAAATTAAAATAACATACAATATAAAAGTTAAGATAACTTAATAAATTAAATTAATCGGCCCCCCAATTTTTCTTGCTGTAAAATTGGAGGTGGCTCACTTTCCTTACTTAGCAACAGAAATCCTTGCCCCAATTCTGGTCGTAAATTGAGGACTATCTGTATACCTCTTGGATGAAAAATCGGAGCGAGTAAATGAATTTTTTACCTCTCTGTAGAATCTAAATTAAACATGGAAAAATAGAAACGACTGGAATAAATGGAGTCGGAATGAAAGTCGCTTGGATGTAGAAATAAGTAACTGGTGTAAAAAGAAAGATATTGAAATGCTTTGATTAGATATAATTAATAATAACCAAATGTCATTCTGGGTATGATTGGCAAGAAAGTACGATAAATAAGTTATCAAATTTTTCAAGAAAGTACGGTAAGTAAGTTATCAAATTTTTCAAGAAAGTACGATAAATAAGTTATCAAATTTTTCAAGAAAGTACGATAAATAAGTTATCAAATTTTTCAAGAAAGTACGATAAATAAGTTATCAAATTTTTCAAGAAAGTACGATAAGTAAGTTATCAAATTTTTCAAGAAAGTACGATAAATAAGTTATCAAATTTTTCAAGAAAGTACGATAAATAAGTTATCAAATTTTTCAAGAAAGTACGATAAATAAGTTATCAAATTTTTCAGGAAAGTACGATAAATAAATTATCAAATTTTTCAAGAAAGTACGATAAATAAATTATCAAATTTTTCTTGGTAGATAGAAAGAGTGAAGTTACTACTTTCTATTGAGCCCCAAAAAGCAGAAACAGAATCAATGGATTATTACCAATAATCATAAACCCCACTGCTAATACTATGAGGACACGCTTGCCTTGAGGACTAGAAACCCTGTAAAACGAATGCCTCCAGAAGCTTAATCCGGCACTAGAATGACCCATGATGTGATGGTGACCAAGAATCAATTTCTGCGTTTCTCAACATTTGGCAATTTTAAGACGCGGAGAATTCCATTCCCAGAATTCCCTTGCTGGCAGGGGAATTCTGGGAGTTGAAGTCCACATGTCTTAAAAGTTGTCAAGATGGAGAAATATTGGGTCTATACGGTTTAGGGCCCCGTTTTGGGCCTAGTAGGCCTCCCTGCACTTACCTGGGAGCCAAAATGGGGCACGTGGGGACTCCTGGAAGGGGCGGGGCCAGCCAGCAATTTACCTACCGGTTCGCTGGAACTGGCTCGAACCGGCTGAACCCCACCACTGCATCCGTCCCATCTCCCCCCCAGTTTGATACCCCTGAACATAAAAACAGATAAAGCCTTGATTGTTATCATCACAGCCGCCATTTTGACTTTGTGTCTGCGTGCGACATGACACCCCTACATGGTTGATCCCACGCAACAAAACGCACGCGATTGGCCCTTATTAAACGAGTTTAACCGGCAGCCTCCAAAACCCGGCGCAGAATCTCCTCCCTCCCCCCGCCGCCCCCGGGGACTTACCTTGAGCTGGCGCAACACTTTCCGCCTGGACTTTTTGGAGACGGAGGGGCTGGCCAAGAGGGCGTCGAAGACGTGGCTCCCGGAGGGATCGCAAGCCAACGTTACCAGGTCCGCCGGCGGCATGGCGGCCAAACTGCCCAGCACGAGGGAAGGGTCTGCGAAGTGCAGGAGATGCTGGAGCATCAGGGAGCCGTGGTAGGAGACGGCGCTCAGGGCCGGGGGCGTCGCACCTTCCTGGAGCAAAAGAGAATCCAACGGTGTGGTGGAATGAAGTCTGGATTCCCAGGAGGGAGGGGCCGCATTCCAGAGGACCCAGCCAAGTTTGGTTGGGAGGAAAAGAGTTAAGACGGCTCCTCCTTAGCAGCTCACAGAGCAGCTCTTTTAACGACACAAGCACAGGAATAGAAAGTCCTCGACTTACAACCATTTGTTTAGTGACCGGAGTTACGCCGACACTGGAAAAAGCGAATTACGACAGAAAAATTCGATCAATCTGGGGACCTAATCAGCATGAAGGCCGAGTAAAGGACGCGCAACGCAGTCCTTGACTTACAACAGCTGTTGCGACGGTTCAATGACACTGGGAAAAGTGACTTATGACCGTTTATCGCACTTACGACCGTTGCAGCCTCCCCACGGTCACAGGCTCGCTTGGCCACTGACTCCTATTTATGATGGCTGCGGCGTCCTAGCGTCCTACGATCCCCTTTTTACGACCTTCTGACAAGCCAAGTGAATGTGGGAGCCGGATTCGCTTAACGACCTAGCGATTCGCTTAACCATTGTGGCAAGGAAGGTCGTAAAACGGGGCAAAGCTCGCTTCACAACTCTCTCTCTCACTCGCCAAGAGAAATCTGGGGTTGAATGGTGGTCGTAAGGGCGAGGACCACCTCTAGCTGTCACACCTACCTGCTCCTTCTCTTCCTCCTCCCCAAAGTAGACCTCGTACGCCAGGACGGAGGCGAGGAGGGGGGCGCAGACCAGTTGACGGGCGGGGGGCTCCCAACAGTGGAAGGCCTGTGGGGGGGAAAAAAACCCCACCCAGCTCAACAATTTGGCAGAGAAGACGGAGCCGAAAACTAACCAGAAAACCACGCAGGATTTGCTTACCTCCAAGAGGAGCTGCAACACCTCCGGCTGGTGGGCGCCGTGTTTCCGGCAGGCGCCTAGGAGCGCCGTGACGATGCCGAGATGCTCCAGGGCCAGGATTTCTTCCAAGCCGGGGCCCAGCTCCTGAAATAGATGCCCCAGCTGGGGGACGGGGTTATACATGAGGAGACCCTCGTAAATCAAGAGAAGGGCCCCTTCCCCCTCTTCTAGGCCGGCAGGGATCTAATTGATCGATCTGCAACGGGTCCTATCAGATCGCTAGCCGTTGAGGGAGCGTTACTGTAGAATGTATTTATTTTTATCTTGACTTTTATTATTTTTATAAGGAACTCAAAAGTGGTTGAATAGACCATTATCTCATATTCCTCGCTCCTCCTATTTCCTCCACAATAACAACTCTTTGAGGTTGGGTTGGGCTGAGACAGACAGGCCCAAAGTCACCCAGCTGGATTTCCTGCTTAGGTGGGACTAGAACTCACAGTCTCCTAGTGATTGGCCCAGTCACCTACCTGGCTTTCGTGACTAGGATGGGACTAGAACTCACCATCTCCTGGTGACTGGCCCAAAGTTACCCAGCTAGCTTTCACACCTAAGCCAAACTAGAACTCACCATCTCCTGGTGATTGGCCCAAAGTCACCCAGCTAGCTTTCACGCCTAAGCCAAACTAGAACTCACCATCTCCTGGTGATTGGCCCAAAGTCACCCAGCTAGCTTTCATGACTAGGATGGGACTAGAACTCACAATTTCCCAGCGATTGGCCCAGTCACCCAGCTAGCTTTTATACCTAAGTCAGAAGTAGAACTCACTGTCTCCTAGTGATTAGTCCATAATCACCCAGCTAGTTTCCATAACTAGGGTGGGACTAGAACTCACAATCTCCTAGAGATTGGCCCAGTCACCCAGCCAGCTTTTATACCTGTCAGAACTAGAACTCACCATCTCCTGGTGATTGGCCCCAAGTCACCCAGCTAGCTTTCACACCTAAGCCAAACTAGAACTCACCATCTCCTGGTGATTGGTCCAAAGTCACCCAGCTAGCTTTCATGACTAGGATGGGACTAGAACTCACAATTTCCCAGCAATTGGCCCAGTCACCCAGCTAGCTTTTATACCTAAGCCAAACTAGAATTCACCATCTCCTGGTGATTGGTCCAAAATCACCCAGCTAGTTTCCATAACTAGGGTGGGACTAGAACTCACAATCTCCTAGAGATTGGCCCAGTCACCCAGCCAGCTTTTATACCTGTCAGAACTAGAACTCACCATCTCCTGGTGATTGGCCCCAAGTCACCCAGCTAGCTTTCATGACTAGGATGGGACTAGAACTCACAATTTCCTAGTGATTGGCCCAGCCACTCAGCCAGCTTTTCTACCTAAGTCAGAACTAGAACTCACCATCTCCTAGTGATTGGTCCATAATCATCCAGCTAGCTTTCATGACTGGGGTGGCACTAGAACTCACAATCTCCTAGTGATTGGCTCAGTCACCCAGCCAGCTTTTATACCTAAGTCAGAACTAGAACTCACCATCTCCTGGTTTTTTGCCTGCTGCCTGAACAGCCCCGTCTGCCGTGGAGGAGCCAAAATCTGGCCCTGCCCTTTCAAAGCCTTACCCGGGTCTGTCCCTTCTTAGCTTTTCAAGATCAACCAAAATGGACGACACAACCAATCTAAGCCAGCTGAGAGGCCATCGCAACACCCCTTACCAGTTTACGCGAGGCGGCCTGGATGAGCCGTTGCAAAGTGAAGTTGGCCACTTTGTGAGCCGCCAGGACGCGCAGCTGCCCCTTGACGTGAGCCTTGTAGAACGAGCGCAACGCCTTCACATCCGACACCTCCAAGACTTTGTCCAGAACTCGGCTGCAGGTCGCGTCCTTCAGAAACACCAGGAGGTTGCTGAGCAGGGAGGAACAAGCAAGACAAGGAGGAGGAAGGAATGCACCTCCTTGGTACTATTTTCTATAGTAAGGAAAATGCGTATTTGATGATTCGTGGGATAACTGCGGCTAGAATTGCATTTGCGCAAAATTGGAAAATCGAAGAAATCCCTAAAGATGAAAAGGCGATGAAGAAAATATTGTTCTTCCCCAGCTACGGACCCCAAAGAACGCAGCACACACAAAGTCCATACAAACCTTAGTTTACTAATTAAGGACTACTAATGAGCTTTCTTAGTAGTTGTTCGAACGCAAGTACAGTTTAAATCAGTCTTTTTTTGAACAAGGGCTGTTCATTTAACTTCATGAACAGCTGACAAGAATCCAAAGAAGAATAACTCAATTCTGAGGTACAGTATTTCAGATAAGCGTAATCTTACTGTGGTTGGCAGAATGCCCAGAAGCAATTTGCAGGAAAACTGACAAGAGCCGAATCAAACGTTTCTGGAATCAAGACGCGAAGGAATAGGAACAAGGTTGTTTCCTGCAAATTGCCTCAGTCGTCGTCCTTCCTTAAATAGGCTAGGGGAGTGGCCAAATAGCCCCAAGCCTTACTCTCGAGGAGACCTCCTCCTGAGGAGCCTTTTAACAACTCTGCGCGCTCGTGCATCGAGAAGAGGCTCCTCCTCTTCTTCCTCTTCACTTCACTGGAGGTTTTGAAGGCCCTGGCTGAATCCCCGCCTCTGGCACCACATCTTCTCCAGCCTCCTCACTGTCCGACTCGAGTGCCAGCTGCACAGGCTTGCTGGCGCAACACCACATCAGCCTCCTCGCTGTCGGAATCAGCTACTAGCTGCACAGGCCGCTGATGGGCCACAACGAATATTAAGATTGTGCAGAAATGAGTAGATTAACGCTCGCAATTAAAGGAAAGGAAGAATCTGGTTATGATAATATATGGGGGTTATTTTATCATTGGTCAGAAAATGAATATGGATAAAAAGGATAAGATTAAATCATTTAGGAAGAGAAACGTTGTATTTAGGAGTTCTGTTAAGTTGTAATGTCAAAACAAGAATAGATGTATATAAAGAATTCGATGGTAAGCTATTAACTATTATGACACAAAAAAAATTGTACTCGGATAACACACTGATTAATGAACGATGAAATGTTTGTTTTAAAGGGGAAAAAATTAAAAACTTTTACAAAAAAAAAAAATCTCCAAAGCCCAACCCAGGAAAAAAGGCTAAAACCGTAAGAATTTTCCTCAGCCTTTGGCGTTATATAAATGGTATGGTTTAATAGATAGAATTTGGGATAATTTGGGAGATTGCATTAAATAGCATTATTTGAACTAAGAACTATGTTTAAATGTTAAATTGCGATATTTTTAAAATTAAAGATAAGTTTTAAATTTGATAAAGTACTAATGGAATAAGGATTTAATGAGTATCATGAAATATAAATATGTTTGAACCAGTGGTGAAATGTAAAATTTATAAAATCAGCTGAAGAGGTTGTAAAAAAAATGCTTTTAAAGCCTCTGACGATCCCAGCTGACTTGCCTGATTGGCAGAGCCTTTTTTTACTTTTAAAAATATTTTTTCTAGAACCTCTTTGGCCGAAGAGGTTGTAGAAAAAAAATGCTTTTAAAAGCCTCTGATGATCCCAGCTGAGCCACGCGATCATCAGAGGCTTTTTTTTTTTTTTTTTACTTTGAAAAGCATTTTTTTGGCCAAAGAGGTTGTAGAAAAAATGCTTTTAAAAATAAAAAAAAAGCCTCTGATGATTGCGCAGCTCAGCTGGGCAATGGGGGGGGCAGAGATTTTTGCTACCGGTTCTCCGAACCACCCGTCTCCATCGCTACCGGATCGGGTGATCCGGTCCGAACCGGGAGCATTTCACCCCTGGTTTGAACTGTACTGAAATGTATTATGAGTTATTAATTGAAAATAGAATAGATAAAGTTTTGTTAAAAATGACCAAAAATTGAACAAATTGTTGACCGGATCAAAGCTCTGTTCTGAAAAAAATGTAATTTGTATGTTTGAAGAAAAAAAAAAAAAAGTTTTCCTCAGCTTAAACTGACCGCAACTGGCAGCAGAATTTCCATTGGCTAAACAAGGCAGGATTTTACGAACTTTCCACCATGGTGGTTAAGCAAATCACTGCCATCGTTAAAGCGAATTGTGTGGCCGTTAAGCAAATCCGGCTTCCCTCACTGACTCTGCTCGTCAGAAACCGGCTGGGAAGGTCTCAAATGGCGATCACGTGACCCTGGGATCCTGCAATCATCATAAATGCGTGCCCGGTTGCCCAGCATCTAAATTTAGATCATGCTACTGTGCGGATGCTGGAATGGTCACAAGTGCGAGGACTGATTTTTTTCAGGACCCTCATGGCTTCGAACGATTGCTAATTGAATGGTCTTAAGCCGAAGGTTGTGTCGAGAATGTGGGTCTCTCTAATACAATATTTCTTAGACGGGTAGTCCTCGAGTTATGACCGCAACTGAGCCCCAAATGTATGTCACTAAGTGAAACATTTCTTAGGGGAGTTTTGCCCCGTTTTACGATCTTTCTTGCCAACCGTTGTTAAGCGAATCACTGCAGCTGTTTTAGTAACACGGTTAAGTGAACCTGGCTTCCCCATTGACTTGGCTTATCAGTAGGTTACGAAAGGGGATTATATAATCTCTGGACACTGCAACCGTCATAAATGTGAGTCAATTTTGATCATGTGACCACAAGGATGCTACAAAGGGTGTTAAGTGTGAACAACAGTCGTAAGTCACTTTTTTCAGTGCCGTCGTAATTTTGAATGAACTCCTATAAGTCAAGGACCGCCTGTGCTTCACCACTTTAAGACAGATGGACTTCAACTCCCAGAATTCCTCAGCCATCCTTGCAAACTTTGCAAACTTTTTGCAATGACGCCTCCCACCAATCCCCACCCACCCCCAAACCATCCAACCAATCCAACTGCCTACCTTTGCTCAGCAGCCGGGTTACAGCTGCTCAGGTAGCCAATCAGGGCCTGGCAGAGCTCAGCACACTCTGCAGGCAGCTTTCGGTGTAGGATCTCCAGCGCCACCTGCAGGCAGAGGCTGAAACATTTGTTGGTGATGAAATCTAGAGGGAAAACAAGGTTTAGTTTAATAAGGATCTTGGTTAAAGTAAGGATCTTGGTTAAAGTCAGACCAGAAAGGAAGGATTTATAAATGATCATCGTGATCGTGATCATCTTTTAACGACTCCATAATCCCTTGCAAGGTGGAGTCTGGGCAACTGAATGGAGCTAGCAGAGTGTTTTTTAATGGCCGGATGCCTTTCCTGTCACCAATGCGGAGTTTTGTTCAGCAGATATATTTCTTAGAGAAATATCTATATCTGCCTAGGATCAAACTCACAGCCTCCTGGATTGTGAGGCAAGAGCTCCACCTCTATGTACGACCTTCCCTAAACGTATGTCAAGCTCACACTTTCCCATTCAGAGGTCGCCCTCACTTAATGACCATTCGCTTAGTGACCTTTTGAAGTTACGACCGACCCCATCAAAAGGATTTAAGACCTCAAATTTATGACTGCCCCCCCCCCGTGGTTATGGATCACAATAACCGACCTCATAAAAGGTACTTACAACCCATCCTCAAAGTTACGACTGTCCCACCCCCTCCCCGTGGTCATGTGATCGCATTTCAGACACTGCAACAGGCTCATATTTACAAGTTGCAAAGTCCCTGAGTCACGTGACCCCAATTTGCACTATTTTTTGTTAGCAGGCAGGAAAAAGCATCCATTCTTACAAGGGATTCGCTTAGCGACCTCTTGATTCACTTAACGACTGCCATAAAAATGGCCGTAAAATCAAGCCAGCTCATATGGAGACCCGCTTAACAACTTCCAACTACTTAATCACGGAAATTCCACGCTCGCTTGCTGTCATTAAACGAGGACTACCTGTATTCGGTGGAAAGCTGTGCAAGACTGCTGTTTCCCCACCTGCCCAGCAGATGGCAGCATCTCACCTGAAATTTGTTCCTGAAAGCAGCCTTTGAATTCCCGCAAGAGGGAGAGAAAACTCACAGGGACCTCAAACACCGCTGGTCCTTCACTCCCCACCTTCGAACTCTTGGCCCCGGGACGAAGAGCCCCTAAGATGGTGGAAAGGGGGCAGAAAAGGGGAAGGGGTAAATTAAACGCCCTGATTTTCCCGCAAGGAAAAGATTAATGCATTGCCGCTTGGCGTAAACACCTGGCAAAATATGGGATTAACCAGCATGTCCAAACAACCTTGGCAATTTTAAGACTTGTGGACTTCAAATCTGCATCATGGCTGGCTGGGGAATTCTGGGAGTTGAAGTCCACAGGTTGAGGACATCATACGATGATGAGTCGAGGACTTCATATAAGGAGTTATTTGTAAATATAAGAAAGGTGGGGTACAAATAAATAAAATAAAAATAATGTAAAATAACATAAAAAATAAAAAAATAAAAAAAATTATAAAAAATAATAAAATGAATAAAATAAACATAATAAATGAATTTTATTTATTTATTTATTTATTTATTTATTTATTTATTTATTTATTTATTTATTTTTAAATTTGTATACCGCCCTTCTCCCTGAGGACTCAGGGCGGTGAACAGCCAAGTAAAAGCATAAACTATAAACGACAAACATTAAATAAATAAATTTAAATAAATATATAAATAACATAATAAAATAAAATAAAATTGGGACCTCCACTAATGTCCTTGTACATGTTGGCGGTTGTTGTTGCTGCTATTATTATATAAATGAATAAAATAAAAATAATAAAAATATATCAACTAAAAAATAAAAAAATAAAAAAGTAAAATAAAATGAAGTAAATAAAATAAAAAATAAAAATAAAAAAGAAATCAAAATAAAAGAAGTAAAATAAAATAGAATAACAAAATAAAAAATAATAAAAGAAAATATAAAACAAAGAAATAAAACAAAAAATAACATTAAAAAATAAGTAAAATAAAATGAAGTAAATAAAATAAAAAAGAAGTAACAAAATAATACATAAAATAAATAAAATAATGAAATAAATAATAATTTAAAATAAATTAAAAAATTAAATTAAATTAAATTAAAATAAATTAATAAAATTAAAAAATAAAATAATAAAATAAAATAAAATAAATAAAATAAAATAATAAAATTAAATTAAATTAAAATTAAATAATAAAATAAAATAAAATAAAATAAAATAATAAAATAAAATAATAAAATAAAATAAAATAAAATAAAAAATAAAATAAAATAAAATAAAATAAAATAAAAAAAACAACAAGGTGGGGTACAGTGGGCTGAGCAGAAGGAGCTGACCAGGATTCATCCAGGCCTTTTGGGGGGGTGGGGGGGTCGGGGTGGGGAAGGGAATTAACCCAGGTCTCATCATTCTCACATTCTTCCCACATTGGATCTCAACATGCAGGAAACTCTGAGATGCCAGAAAGTGGGCAAGAGCTTCCACACCCTACTATCCATCACAGGATGGGGGACGCATTCAGTGGCCACGTCTCACCTGAGCCCGGGAGCCCCCGTCCTCCGTCCGACCCGACGCGGGCTCCTCCCAGGACCTGCAGCAGGGTCCGCACCACAAAGCTGGCGTGGGCGTCCAATGCGAAAGTCGATAACTCCTCCCGAAGACTCTTCCCCAGATCCAGGACGAGCTCTTCCAGCGCCTGGGCCTCCTCGCCTCCTTCCGAGATCAGCACTGGGGCCCTCCACAGGGCCCCTTCCAAGATGTGGGCCCCGCAAGGGTGGCAGGCGGCCGGACGCAGGGAGGGGAGCAGGGCCCGGAGCAGAGGCTCCAAGCTGGCCCCGGAAGCAGACGGCAGCAGGGCCTGGAGGAACAGAGACCCCGAGGCATCCAGGGCCAGCGGCAACGCCGCATCGGTGGCCTCCGTCAGGACGTTGCTCACAAACAGACCTACGGGGCCAAAATAACGACCATTATTGGGAGTCCTCGAGTTACGACCACAATGTGGGGGGAGCAGTACTTCCCCTTGCTAAGCAAGGCGATTGTGAGTCGGGTGCCCTTTTGCAAACTTTTTTTTGTCAGGGCTGCTAAGCGAATCACCGCTGTCGTTAAGTGAATCACATGGTCGTTGAGCGAATCCGCCCTCCCCCGTTGATTTTACTGATCAAAAAGCCAGTCGGGAAGGTCGCAAATGGCGATCACGGGACACTGTCAAGGCAGGGCAGTCCTCAACTTACAACAGTTCATTTAGTGACCGTTCAAAGTTACAACGGCGCTGAAAAAGGGACTTACCGCCATTTTTCACACTTACGACCACGGCAGCATCCTCATGACCGTGTGATCAAAATTCAGAGGCTTCGCAACTGACTCGTATTTATGACGGTCGCAGTGTCCTAGGACAGTGACGGCTAACCTTTTTGCCATCGCGTGCCAAAAGCGGGGGAGTGCGAGGGGGTGCGCGCACATGTCCACACCCGTAATCCTATGTGCCCCACACCCCTGCGCATGGTGCGCGACCCCTCCCGCTCCCCCCGTTTTTGGCACACGATGGCCCTGGTAGGCCCATTTTGTGCCCTCTCCAGGCTCCAGAGTCTTCCTAGGAGCCTGGGGAGGGCAAAAACAGCCTTTCCCACCCCCCTGGAGTCCCTCAGAAGGCCGGAAACGGCCCATTGGCCAACTTCCGGTGGGACTGGAAGGCCCGAAAATCAGTTGGCCAGTGCATACATGCGCGCCGGAGCTTAGCTCACGTGCCCACCGATATGGCGGTGGCACGTGTGCCATAGGCTCGCCATCAGTCCTAGGTCACATGATCCCCTTTTGCGACCTTCTGACAAGCAAAGTCAGCGGGGGAAACCCGATTCACTTAACAACCGGGTTACTATCTTATCAACTGCCGTGATTCACCTAAACATGGCGTCGAGCGAGGTCGTAAAATGGGACCAAGCTCACTGAACAAATGTCTCCCTTAACAACAAAAATCTGGGCCTCAATTGGGGCTGTAAATCGAGGACTAACTGTCCATTGCCAAGCTCCCTAATTCGGAGCACGTGATGGTGGGAACGCCACACAATAGTCGTTAAGTGTGAGGAACAGCTATAAATCATCTTTTCAGTGCTTCGAATGGTCGCTAAACGAACTGTACCATCCGGTTCAGCTGAAGACGGGTGGACTTCAACTCCCAGAATTCCTTGCAACACCTGCCATCTTCCCAAATTTCTGAATTCCCAATGGATCAGGCTATGGCCTGGTACTCCTCAATTTACGACCGATCGCTTACCAACCGTTTGAAGTTACTTCCCTGGGGAGACTTATAACCCAGATGTTGAAGGACCAATGGCTGTCCCCCGTGGTCACATGACAATTACTGCCATTTGCATATAAACAGTCACGCGACCACATTTTACGGCCATTTCGCCCAAAAAAATGGCATATACATCCAGCTTACGGTAAACCAGCTCATAGAGAAACACGGATTCAATTAACAACCGCTCCCAAAAAAAAGGTCATAAAACTGATTCGGTCCCATGGACGACCCAAATTACAAACATCACGAGTCGCGACGCTGATGGGCAGCGTCCATTACGGTCGTAACCCGAGGATTTCTCCTACAAGCTTCCCCCCCCCCCCCGGGAACAATTCTTACTTTTCTCCTCATCGGAGGCAAAGCCAGATTTGAAGGTTTCGTGCGCCTGGCGGAAATAGTCCGCCACCGCAGGCTCCAATTTGACAGCACCGCCTCCTTTGATCTCCTCGGGGTCTCCTTTCCCGGGCTTAGAAGCAGGCGAGCCACGTCGTTTTTTCTGCTGCTCTTTGCTGCTTTTTGCGGTTTTCTGGCGGTGGGCGGTGGGTCCCATCCTTCTGGATAGCTCCAGCCAGCCTTCGAAGGGGAAACCGAGGAAATTAACGGCAAGGAAAAATGACAACTTTGGACGGCGAGACGGGCAGCATATAAATTCACTACATAAATAAATAAATAAACCACATATATTTAATAAAAATAAAAGATAAATGTAATAAATGAATAAAACAAAACATACATTTAATAAAAAAATAAAACGTAAATAAAAATAAAGCCAATTTAATCAACGAAAAATAAACCGCATACATTGAATAAAGCATCCATTTAATCAATAAAAAAGAAAACATAAACATTTAAATTAAGAAATATAAAATTAAAACGGAGAGAAAGAGACAAGAGCAATGCGGAGGGATGATAAATAAGGAGCAGGTAAATCCGCTCGCTATAACAAGCCCAGGAAAATATCCAGGTTCAAAAACTCTTGGCAGTTTCAGCCTCCTTGAGCCCACCTCACAGGGGTGTTGTGAGGAGGAGATGGACCAAAGAAAGAGCAGGCGAGACCCTGAGGGGGCCTTAGGACGCCTCAACAACATCCCACTTGAAACAACCTTTGGGACACCAATATTTCGGAAACATCCCATGATCACCGGGGGCTACATATAATATTGCTTTCTATGATAAATGTAAAATTATATAATATGCTATACTTATATTCACACACACACATGTATGTATGTATGTATGTATGTAGCCAGTTCGATCAAGACTAAGTGGTTGAGTGTTTGCCAGTTTGTTAATAAACAATGTTTATTAACATTTCATCTAAATTAATAACACTGTAAAATATGAAATAGAAATAAAATATTTACATACATATATACATGATATACATATTATATGTATACACACGTGTATACACGCATATACAGTATGCATGTGTATATATATATTGTGTGTATGTATATGTGTATGTGTGCATGTATGTGTGTACATGTGTATGTGTATATAGTATGTGTATATGTGTGTATGTGCATATATGTGTGGGTGTGTATATGTATGTGTATGTGTGTGTATATGTGTGTGTGTGTGTGTGCATGTGTGTATATATGTATATGTGTGTGTATATATATTGTGTGTGTATATATCTTGTGTATATAAATTGTGTGTATGTGTGCATGTGTGTGTGCATGTGTGTGTATGTGTAGATATGTGTGTATGTGTGTGTATATATATATATTGTGTATATCTTGTGTGTATATATATTGTGTGTATATATCTTGTGTGTATATAAATTGTGTATGTGTATATAAGTGTGTGTGTGTATATATGTGTACCTGTGTGTATATAGTGTGTGCGTGTGTATATATGCATGTGTGCATATATATGTGTGGGTGTGTATATATGTATGTGCATGTGTATATATATTGTGTGTATATATAGTGTGTATATATTGTGTATGTATATGTGTGATGTGTGTATATGTGTGTATATACATGTGTATGTGTATATGTGTACATGTGTAGTGTGTGTGTATATGTGTGCGTGTATATGTGCGTGTGTGCATATGTGTGGGTGTGTATATATGTATTTATGTGTGTATATATGTGCATGTGTGTATGTGTATATATATTGTGTGTATATATAGTGTGTATATATTGTGTATGTGCATGTGTGTATATGTGTGTGTATATACATGTGTATGTGTATAAGTGTGTATGTGTGTGTATATGTGTGTATGTGTGCGTGCATGTGTGTGTATGCATATGTGGGTGTGTATATATGTACTTGTGTGTGTGTATATGTGCATGTGTGTATATATGTCTATACATATATATATTGTGTCTTCTTAAGTTTTCGTGGGTGTGTATATGCAAAAAATTAAAATCTCGGGTGTTTTCCCGCGTCATATTAAATAAAATAACATTTTAACTAACTTATTTAATATGACGCGGGAAAACACCTGAGATTTTAATTTTTTGCATATATATATTGTGTATATATATTGTGTATGTGTATGTGTGTGTGTGTGCGCATGTGTGTATGTGCACACTATACATGTGTATAGTGTGTATGTGTGTAATGTGTGTGTATATATGCGTGTGTGCATGTGTGGGGGTGTGTATTTGTGTGGGTGTGTATATGTACGTGTATATATATATATATTGTGTGTATATATTGTATGTGTATGTGTGTATCCGTGTGTGCATATATGTGTGCATATACGTGTGTGTACGTCTGTGTATGTACGTCTGTGCATATCTGTGTGCGTGTGTATCCACATATCCACCTGTGTATCTTCCATTGATAACGCCCAATTTCCCTAGAACAGAATCCAATGAATCCCAACAGACTAATAGCCTGTTATTAATATCCAGCTGCCTGCAATTTCTGCTGGTTCGAATCTCGCCAAGGCTCAAGGTTGACTCAGCCTTCCATCCTTTCTAAGGTAGGTAAATTGAGGACCCAGATTGTGGGGGCAATAAGCTGACTTTGTATAAAATATACAAAAGAATGAAGGCTAATGCATTGTAAGCCGCCCTGATTCTCCGGAGAAGGGCGGCATATAAATCAAATTAAAAAAAAAAAAGATTGGAGGGAAGAGGGGAGGGGGGGCTTGCCTTTCAAAGCCCACATCCAAAAATAAAATACCCCCCCAAGCCCCGCCCCCCGCCCCCCCAGAGCTTTCCTCATCCACCACCAGCGGGGAAAGGAGCTGCAAGTCGCCTGCCCTGGCCGCTTCACCGGTTGCATTTCTGCCTGCAGCCAACCTATCCGGTCACCGGGAAGGCTGGAAGATTCCAATAAAAGCTACAAAAAAAATCAGAATATATATATATATATATATATATATTTATATTTTGCAAGACTTACAGGAAACGGCCCGGCCCAAAGTTTCCACTGGCTGCTGCGGCTGCTGCTGCTGTGATCTACTGGATTGCAACAGGATCCTGCATCTTTTTTTTTTTTTTTTTTTGCAAACCCGCGCAGAGCACGCGGAGGACCGGGCTTTTTCTGCGCCTGCGTAGGACTCTCTCTCTCTCTCTTTCTCTCAGGCCACGCCCTCCCCGGAACCACGCTGCCTCCCGACCTGCCCCCCCTCCTTGCGCGCGAGGAAGCGAGCAGCGCAGGCCGCTCCTCCCAGAAGGCATTGCGCCCGTGACGTCGTCCTGCCGTTCGTCTATTGGCTCGTTCGTTCATTGCGTCACCCATTCATTCATTCATTCATTCCTGGGGGTGAGGTCTGCGTGGCTTCTAAAATGGCCGAATGAAGACTCAGAGGGAGGGAGGGAAATGTCTTTAAATTCTCTGAAAGTGCCAGTAACTACACTTTGTGGGGTGGGGTGGACTGCCCTTGCCATAGAATGGGACTGTCGTACCCATCCTCCCCAGCCAAAGGACAAGAATGGAATGGAATGGAATGGAATGGAATGGAATAGAATAGAATAGAATAGAATAGAATAGAATAGAATAGAATAGAATAGAATAGAATATATGGAATGGAATAGAATGGAATAGAATAGAATAGAATAGAATAGAAAATATGGAATGGAATAGAATAGAAAATATGGAATAGAATAGAATAGAATATATGGAATGGAATGGAATAGATAATATAGAATAGAATAGAATATATGGAATGGAATAGAATAGAATAGAATATATGGAATGGAATAGAATAGAATAGAATAGAATATATGGAATGGAATAGAATAGAATATATGGAATGGAATAGAATAGAATAGAATAGAATATATGGAATGGAATAGAATAGAATATATGGAATGGAATAGAATAGAATAGAAAATATGGAATGGAATGGAATAGAATAGAATAGAATAGAAAATATGGAATGGAATAGAATAGAAAATATGGAATAGAATAGAATAGAATATACAGAATGGACTGGAATGGAATAGAATAGAATAGAATATATGGAATGGAATGGAATAGATAATATAGAATAGAATAGAATATATGGAATGGAATAGAATAGAATATATGGAATGGAATAGAATAGATAATATAGAATAGAATAGAATATATGGAATGGAATAGAATAGAAAATAGAATAGAATAGAATAGAATATATGGAATGGAATAGAATAGATAATATAGAATAGAATAGAATAGAATAGAATATATGGAATGGAATAGAATAGAATATGTAGAATGGAATGGAATAGAATAGAATATATGGAATGGAATGGAATAGATAATATAGAATAGAATAGAATATATGGAATGAAATACAATAGAAAATATAGAATAGAATAGAATAGAATAGAAAATATAGAATAGAATAGAAAATATGGAATGGAATAGAATATATAGAATGGAATGGCATGGAATAGAATATATGGAATGGAATGGAATAGATAATATAGAATAGAATAGAATATATGGAATGAAATAGAATAGATAATATAGAATAGAATAGAATAGAATAGAATAGAATAGAATATATGGAATGGAATAGAATAGAATAGAAAATATGGAATGGAATGGCATAGAATAGAATATATGGAATGGAATGGAATAGATAATATAGAATAGAATAGAATATATGGAATGAAATAGAATAGAACATATAGAATAGAATAGAATAGAATAGAATAGAATATATGGAATGGAATAGAATAGAATAGAATAGAAAATATGGAATGGAATGGCATAGAATAGAATATATGGAATGGAATGGAATGGAATGGAATAGAATTGCAAAAAATTGCAAGCCGCCCAAAGTCGCTGGACAGGGAGAAGGGTGACGCCACACTGCATTTGATAAATAAAACTAAATAAGATCATTTATACGGTATCCAGAACAAGCAACCTGCAGGAAGAGAAAATGGCAGCCTGGGCAAGTCTGTGAACTCGGCGGCTCCTTGGGTGAAGTTGGGCCAAGACGATGTTGACACCTGAGAAAACTCCCCGTTTCTTGAGAATTCGAAGGCAATAATGCCATAAATATTTGCTTTTCCCCACCTGTCTCCTGGATGATGGGAAAGGCCCTGCAAACACGTCTACAGGTGAGTGCAGCTTCCTCCTTCGAAACCTCGGGTTGATTCATATCAGCCACCCAGGGCAGGGCAGCCCCACAAGGGAAGAGCCTCTTTAATGGGAATCTTTCCCCCTTTGTCACGGTGGCGAGGAATACAGCTTGACTTACGACGACAATCGAGTTCATCATTCCCGTTGCTAAGTGAGACCGTTGTCAAGTGGGTTTGCCCTATTTTACAGCCTTTCTTGCCAGAGTTAAGTGAATCCCTGCCGTTGTTAAATGAGTAACACGCAGGGGTGAAATGCTACCGGTTCGGATCGGTTCGCCCGAACTGGTAGTAAAAAAAATGCTACCAGTTCGGTCGGAACAGGTATTTCTGATGATCAGCTGTGACGCGTGATTTAGATTAGCTAGAATCGTCGGATTTCCTACTTTCTATCTAATCTAAATTGCGTGGCACAGCGGACTCCCCTCCCCCTCGCTGTTCTACTTACCTTTGCAGACTCGGAAGGCTTCAAAATGTTCCTCTTTTAGCGCTGCGCAGGCACACCACATGAACGCACACAGCGTGCTCGGTAGCAGACTCACAGAATCCGTAGCAGGCTTCAGAGGATTTCACCCCGGGTAACATGGTTGTTAAGTGCATCCGGCTTCCCGCTTGACTTTGCTTGTCCAAAGGTCGCCAAAGGGGCACATGTGACCCCCAAGGAAACTACAATCATCGTAAGTACATGCCAGTAGCCAAGCATCTCAATTTTGATCATGTAACCATGGGGAAGCTGTGAAATCCAGCAGGTTCGGGAGAACCGGTAGCGGAAATTTTAAGTAGTTCGGAGAACTGGTAGCAGACATTTTGAGTAATTCGGAGAACCGGTAGCGGAAATTTTGAGTAGTTCGGAGAACCGGAAAATACCACCTCTGGCTGGCCCCACCCCCATCTATTCTCTGCCTCCCGAGTCCCAGCTGATCAGGAGGAAATGGGGATTTTGCAGTATCCTTCCCCTGGAGTGGGGAGGGAATGGAGATTTTGCAGTAATCTTCTCCTGGAGTAGGGAGGGAATGGAGATTTTGCAGTATTTATAATAAATTATACATGATTACAATCTAAACGAGCGTTTTTATTAGCGGGACGTTTGTGATGTGAGTTTTGCCCCGTTTGGCCGCTTTTCTTGACACCGTTGTTAAGTGAATCCCTGCGGTTGATAAGTCAGTAAGCCGGTTGTTAAACGAATCCGGCTTCCCCGTTGAGTTTGCGTGTCCGAAGGTCGCCAAACGGGGATCACGGGACTCCGAGGACATTGCAATCCTCGTAAGCAGAGGTGGTATTCAGCCGGTTCAGACCGGTTCGGGCGAATCGGTCCTCCTCGTGTAAACATTTTGCAGAAAACTCCCCGACTAGGTGTGTTGCGTTCTTCTTCCAAAATTACCATTTAATTGCCGGCATAAATCAGGGCTGCACAAATGTGAATTTATAATATCAGGTTGCCAAAGTCTCCTTCGGTCCCTGCACTCGGGCAGACGAGACTTCGGCAGGCGTTTCCCAAACTACAGGAATATATTGTAAATCAATCCCATCACCTCCATTCCTTCCCCGTTCCTCCTGGCTTACATACGCGCCCCGTTCTTCCCCGTGGGAAATCCGGCTTGGCTCGACTTGGCGATGACTTCATCCCCACACCCCTAATTTTCATCTCGGCCTCTGTCACCCAGGAGAGACAAGCTTGTCATAAAAATCAGATTTCAATCCTACCCCTTCCTATCCGAACCTTCGTTTCAACTCTGTGATGGACGGCCACAAATCGGGCCCCCAACCTTTCCCTTGCAAAGCCAGGCGGTGGTTCAGTGGGCTTTTGCCCCATTTTACGACCTTCCTTGCCACGGTTATGAAGCGAATGGCTTTAAGGTTAAAACGAATCAGGCGGTCATTAAACAAATTTGGTTTCCCGCATTGTCTTTGCCAGCTGGGAAGGTCGTCAAATGGTGATCGCATAACCCCAGGATACTGCAACCGTCATAAATATGAATCAGTTGTCAAGCGTCCGAATTTTGGTCGGCATGCTGCAACGGTCATAAGTGTGAAAAACGGTTATAAGTCACTTTTTTCAGTGCTGTTGTAACTTTGAACGGTGACTAACTGTTGTAAGTTGAGGACTACCTGTATAGGAAGTCCTCAACTTACAACAGTTCATTTAGTGACCAAAGTTATAACGGTCCTGAAAAAAAGTGACTTATGCCCACCAAAACGGCACCCGTGGTCGCGGGATTTACATTCGGATGCTTGACAAGTGACTTAAAGTTATGACGGTTGCAGTGATTCCAGAGTTACGTGATTCCCTTTTACGACCTTCTGACAAGCAAAGTCAATGGGGGAGCCGGATTCACTTAACAACCGGGTTACTAATTTAATACAGGTAGTCCTTGACTTACGACAGCTCATTTAGTGACCGTTCAAAGTTGCAACGGCACTGAAAAATGAGACTTGCGACCGTTTTTCACAATGACCGCCTTGTAGCCTCCCCATGGTCACGTGATCAAAACTCAGCTCGTTGGCAACTGGTTCATATTTATGACGGTCGCCGTGCCCCATCCGGGCGGCTGCCCACCCACAGTCACCGATACCGATTCTTCCGAACCGGTCTGAACCGGCTGAATACCACCTCTGCTTACGACGATTGCAATGTCCTCGGAGTCCCGTGATCCCCGTTTGGCGACCTTCGGACACACAAACTCAATGGGGAAGCCAGATTCGCTTAACAACCGGCTTACTGACTTATCAACCGCAGGGATTCACTTAACAACAGTGTCAAGAAAAGCGGCCAAACGGGGCAAAACTCACTTCATAAACGTCCCGCTTATCAACCGAAATTTGGGGCTCCGTTGTGGTCATACGTCAAGGACTACCTGTAACTGATTGTTATTGTAACAGTTCACTTCACAACAGGGTTACCGACTTAAGTGCAGTGACTCGCTGAACAAACACGGCGAGAAAAGCCGTACAGTGAGGCCAAACTCCCTTCACCGATTTCTTTTTAAATGACAGAAATGTTGGGCTCACTTACAGTCGTTAAGTCGAGCGCCGCCTGCGTTTTAAGATTATCGCGGGATCTCTGCTGTCTAATAACGCTTTCCTAAAATCAAATCCCAGCCTTTCAAAACTGTCAACGATCCTTGGCGTGTCCCTGACGAAGAAGTTAATGAAAGAAAGGGAAGTGTTTCTTTCGTTAAAAAAAAAAAAACCTGCCTAAATTCCTTTTTTTTTTTTTCCCCGCTGACTCAACGGCTCTTTATCATATCGGCCCCCACCCACCGAAAGCAGCAATTAAGGATGGTTCATACATCAACGTCTCTCTCCCGTCATTCCGAGAAAGCAAGAACGGCACCGAGTTTGGGGTGAACAACAGGACAGTCGAAATGCGAATCCTTTTCGGAGAACTGGATTTCCAAGCGCACGCCCAAAAAAGTGTGTAAACCCTTTTTCCTCTCCCTTCTGGCTTAAATCATCCTTCTTCTGTGGTTTCTCACCGGGGAACGTGACCTCAATTACAGAAATTTATCATATAACTTGATAATTTAACATATACCCGAAAATAAGACCCACCCGGAAAATAAATCCTAGCATGATTTTTTCAGGATGCTCGTAATATAAGCCCTACTCTCAAAATAAACCCCCGTTAAGATTGTCAACCAGATGGAAGCATTTAGTACCGGTTTCGCAAAGGGATCGTGCGTTGCGAACTGGTAGCTTCTGCGCATGCACAGATCGCCAATGACAACATCCGGGGCAGTGGCCGGGGCCTCCCACCAGTTTTACTCCCGGTTCTTGCAAACCGGTCCGAACCGGGGGCAACCCACCACTGTTAGTACCATATTTCCGCCCAAAATAAGACCTAACCAGAAAATAAGGCCTAATGCAGGGGTGAAATGCTCCCGGTTCAGACTGGATTGCCCGATCCGGTAGCGATGGCGGCGGCTGGCTTTGGAGAACCGGTAGCAAAAATCCCTGTAGCCACCCCCCCCCCCCCATGCCCAGCTGAACTGCGCAATCTTCAGAGGCTGTTTTAAAAGCATTTTTTTCTACAACCTCTTCGGCCGAAAAAATGCTTTTAAAAGTTTAAAAAAAAAAAGCCTCTGATGATCGCACGGCTCAGCTGGGATCATCAGAGGCTTTTAAAAGCAATTTTTTTTTTTTGCGGCCGAAGAGGTTGTAGGGAAAAAAAATGCTTTTAAAAGCCTCTGGCGATCCCAGCTGAGTTGCCTGATCATCAGAGGCTTTTAAGAGCATTTTTTAAAAGCCTCTGCTTTTAAAAAAAAAGTTGGCCACGCCCACCCAGTCACATTACTCACCGCCACCACAGAAGCCACGCCCACAGAACTGGTAGTAACAAATTTTACATTTCACCACTGGCCTAAGGCGTCTTTTGGAGCAAAAATTAATATAAGACCTGATCTTATTTTCGGGGAAACATGGTTTGTGTGTGTGTGTGTATCCTCGACTGTGACAGAGTCCCACATTTCTTGATTGATTGATTAGTATAATAGTTCCATCTTCCATTAAACAGTGTGTCGTCTGGATACATGTATCTTTGTGCAATAATAATCAAAATTTACAATAGTATTCCTTACATTAATACAGTATTTCCCCAAAAATAAGACCCTGTCTTATATATATTTTTTTGAACCCTGAAATAAGCGCTTGGCCTTATTGCCGTGCGCTCAAAAGCCCGATTGGGCTTATTATCAGGGGATAATGTCTTATTTTGGGAGAAACAGGGTATTACTTCTCTAATTCTACAATATTGAACATTGTAAACCTATTCACTTCTCCCTCTTGACATATCTTCTAATAGGAATATCATAATAATATTAAACATCGTAATCCTAATAGTCATAAAAATAATCATCATCATAGTGTTTCCATCTCTCTCTGAACATATTTTCTATATTTCGCTGATCTTCCTCTTTGGTTTCCCTATTTTTAACTTCCATTTTTATTCTCTAATTATCGATAAAATAGATCCCATGTCTTATAATATTCAGAGCATTTCTGAATATTACATTTCTGTCCTTAAGCGAGATGGTAGTTAGGTGAGGTAGTTCTCGCCTTAGAGCAAGGGTTTGAGATGATATTCCAGGGGGTACGAAAACTTGGGTTTAGAAGTTTTAGAATTATAGTGTATATGTATAAATTATAGAGATATACCATGTTTCCCCGAAAATAAGACCCTGTCTTATATTTTTTTTCAACCCTGAAATAAGCACTTGGCCTTATTATCAGGGGATGTCTTATTTTGGGGGAAACAGGGTAATTATTTGGTTTTTTTTAAGGGGGCGAGAATATATTAGAAGCATTCTAGGGGCAGTGGTGGGATTGAAATAATTTAACAACCGATTCACCCGAACCGGCTGAATCCCACCACTAGGCATAGGGTATAGAAAAGGTTGGGAACCCCTGCCCGACAGGAACAATTGAGCCCCAAATTTCCACTGCTAGCAAGGCGAGCCGTAAAAGTGAGTTTTGCCCCGTTTTACTCAGCTTTCCATCCTTCTGAGATCGGTAAATGAGGACCCAGATTATTTGGGGGCCATAAGGCTGACTCTGTAAACCGCGTAGAGAGGGCCATAAAAGCACTGTGAAGCGGTATATAAATCTAAGGGCTATTTGCTATTGCTATAATTCACCTTGTTTTAATACCGCTGTAACTTCGGACGGTCACTCAATTGTAAGCCTGACTTTGCTGAAATTGTGTGGAAAGTCCTCAGCTCACAGCAAACTCACATTCTGACGTGATCAATGGCTAAAAGGGGTGAGTAAATTTAGAGTAATTAAGGGGAGGCCTTGAAAGCTCAATAGCGGAAACTCCCCGAAATCCCCAGCCTCGCCCACGCTGGCTGGGGAATTCTGGGAGTTGACGTCCACCCATTTTACAAGTTGCCAAGGTTGAGAAACACAAATCTATGGATTTCATGACACAACTCTATGTCCACATTTCTTAGCTCAGGTGTGTGTACAGGTAGTCCTCAGCTAACGACGACCCAAATTGATGTGGCTAAACGAGACATTTGTTCGGTGCGGGGTTTTTTTTTCTGCCCCGTTTTACGACTTTCCTTGCCACATTTGTTAAGTGAATCCCTGCGAATGTTAAGTGAGTCACATGATTGTTAAGTGAATCTGGCTTCCCCACCGACTTTGTCAAAAGGTCACAAAAAGGTATCATGTGACACACATACCCCCAGGGTACTGCATCCGTCATAAACACGAGTCAGTAGCCAAGCGCCTGAATTTTAATCGCGCGACCACGGGGATGCCGCAACAGTGGCGCAGTGGTTAGAGTGCTGTACTGCAGCTACTTCAGCTGACTGCTAGTTCAGCAGATCAGCAGATCAAATCTCACCGGCTCAAGGTTGACTCAGCCTTCCATCCTTCCGAGGTGGGTAAAATGAGGACCCAGATTGTTGGGAGGCAACATGCTATTTAGTATACTGTCGATTGTTGTAAGCCGCCCAGAGTCCTCGGAGAGTGAGCGGCATAGAAATATGATTAATAAAAATAAAATAAAATAAACAGTCATAAGTGGGGAAAAAAACGATCATAAATCACTTTATTTTCCGTGTCGTCATAAAACGGTCACTAAACAAACCGTTGTAAAAGCGAGGTGTTTACCGTATTGCTGTGCCTTGCGGGGCCTTTCCTCAGCCTTCACGCTAATCAGGTCCCCAAATCGATCGAAATTTCTCTGGTTTGTGGCGTTGTTATGGAATGATGGGACCAAACAACATTCCTGGGTCAGCCAGAGACAGTTTTATTGCGCAGTTTCAGAACCAGATTTGTATCTGCAATTCTGAACCAAGAAGAGCTCTGACACAACTGCTTTTATACATCTCCAAGACAAAGGATTTTGCGAGCACAGCAGTTTTCCATATATGGTTAACATACATTTGTTACATGATAATTGACACTTTCTAATTACTAAATTCCTTCATTATTTTCTAGTTCATAAGATTATCTTAGCTAAACCACCTTCCTCAATTCTGTGTTTGCTGATGCGTAGATTCATGGCTGCTTTGGATAAATAAGTAACTTTTTGTTTCAGATGGATGTCTTTGCATGTCTTCGCATCCTTGACAGCTAGGCCCCTCAGAAGATATATTACCAAGAATGGAATTTAGCTGATTTAGTGTAATCTCTAAACAAGCACATTTCTTTCTTATAATAATGTGAATAAAGAGGGCCCTTCAGTGTTCATATAGCTGACCCTGTACTATTCCTACATCATTCACATTAGCGCTAAATACATTTTTTCTTGCTTGCTTTCCGACCGATGTTTGGTTAACTGGGACAGCCAAATATTTAAACGGCTCTAGGGTGCTGCCATGCGTACCAGGAATGCGCTACTCCCCTGTCAGCCAAAGAAAACAACATATTTATTTATCTAGCCCCAGATTCCGTGAAGCTGATGGGAGCCAGAAAAGGAATAACTGTTTTCAGGAACAAGGAGCACCTTTGATTGCTGTTTCTAGTCCCTTTGAAGTAACAAGCAAGAATGTGAAATTCTGATCGAAAACGGTTGAATAACAGAATCACAGAGTCGGAAGGGACCTCGGAGGCCTTCTAGTCCAACCCCCTGCTCAAGCCGGAGACCCTACACCGTTTCAGACAAGCGATTGCCCGATCTCTTCTTAAAAACCTCCAGTGATGTAGCACCCACAACTTCTGGTGGCAAGTTGTTCCACTGATTAATTAACAGAATCATTGTCATCCTTCAGTCTCAAAAGACGATGGTATCGTGCTCTGGAAAGAGGTCCTAAAACAGCATCTAGTGCAGTGGTGAAATGTAAAATTTGTTACTACCGGTTCTGTGGGCGTGGCTTGATGGAAAGGGAGGGGTTTAATGTGCCTGGGTGGGCGTGGCCAACTTTTTTTTTATATATATACTTTTAAAAGCATTTTTTTCTACAACCTCAAGAGGTTGCAGAAAAAACATGCTTTTAAAAGCCTCTGACGATCAGGCAACTCAGCTGGGATCGTCGGAGGCTTTTAAAAGCATTTTTTTCTACAACCTCTTCGGCCGAAGAGGTTGTAGAAAAAGTGCCTTTAAACGTTTGGCTAAAATGTTTCCAAACACATCACCAATGTGTTGGAAGTGCAAGACACAAATGGGGACATATTGCCATCTCTGGTGGTCTTGCAGGAAGGCACAACGCTACTGGCAAGAGATTAAGAGAATAATCGAAGAAACAACGAGGCAAAGTGTAGAAATGAAACCAGAACTCTTTCTATTTGGAATGACTACACCACAGTGTACCAAGGAGATAAAATATCTTACCATCCACATATTGACAGCGGCACGTATAGTGTACGCTCAGAATTGGAAATCCGAGATAATACCAACAGAAGAAAAAATAATAACAAAAATAAATGAATGCGCAGAGATGGATAGGCTCACAAAGAGCTCCAAGATA